GGGAGAGAAGACAGTTGTGCGGGGACACTTCTCAGAGGGTTTCTTGCTTTACTGCCAAGTGTCGGGAGCGAGGAACTGAGGGCTCCACACTGTGTTTCCTGGGATGTTTAAGATAGAAGTGGTGTCTGCATCCAGACTCTTAGGACTTACCTTTCTTTATTCCTTTCCCCCACACCTGGGACAGATGATAGGAAAGTCTGTGTGCTCCCTCCTTTGGTGCAGGGGGAGCTTCAAACCAAGCAGGACCCCAGTAGTGCCAGAACCCTCACACCAGCCCCACCCAGTAACCAGCAAAACAAAACAAAACCCCAAGTTAGTCAGTCTTCCTTCTCTCTCATTCATCTTGCACCTACTTAGTAACCACTGTGGTCACCTCATAAACCTTATTGTGGGAATAATAAATGTTTTCATATTCTTCTGGTATGTGTGGCATCATCAGTCCCGACACTGATCCAGATTTTGGGCCGGAACCCACCCTGGCTACAGACCCTAGTCCTAACATTTGGCACTCTGCGCAGGCATTTCTCCTCTGTGGTTTGGCGTCAGACTGGCTCTACTGCCCCAAAGCAAGCATACACTTTGAGCTTTTATGCCTTTTCTTGCAAATCAGCCCAGCCTTAATGGTGTCCCCTCCCAGGGTTGGGTGAGGGGAGGGGAACACAGAAGAAAGATGGAAACCTGAGGAGGAAACAAAACTAGAACAGAGGTCCACAATTTGAACTAATTGGAAATCCACGATATACTCAATTTATTGAACGAAAAAGATAAAAGTGTGAGATTCTCTTTTGTGCTCCCAGTAAGTTAAAACCCGGTGCCCCCAACGATGTTAGTACGTTACTGAACATAAAGTGGACATCAAAGAGGTATGCAGCATCTTATCCATGGGAACTGTGGCCGTGCCTGAATTCCCCCAGTTCATAGTACATGTTGTCCTAAACTGTCCAAGAGAAGGCATGGATGATCTGACCCGTGAGAAATAGATAAAAATTAAATCGAACTGTTGGCACCTACAAATTGGCTTCACAAAATGGGATCCCATGGAATTTCAAGATCTATTTTGGGTAAGGTTTAATTATCCCCACTGCTTTTGTTTTACTTAAATTTTGCCTGTTTTTTAACTTGAAGAGGGAACAGTATCTCACAGTGAATGACCACAACCTAAATGCTGTGTTCTCACCCAGTGTTGTCTAATTACTGGTTCCATCCAGTCAGCAACTGGTAAAATATCTGTTATACGTTTGGCCAGTATGTTAATCAGAGCTTATTTCAACAGCTTCCCAGCCATAATTTTCCTTTACTTACAGCAGGATACCAGGCAATCCCAGGAACTTCAACAGCCTTGCATGGGCAGTGTGTGGGAGCAAGATTTTCACTTCATCCAGCTTTCTCTGGGAGTACAGTTATGATTTACATTTCTGATGCCCTTCTTCAGAGAATCATTTGAACACTCAGTCTTGGTTAATTTCCTGACAATTACTTGGTAAACTGAGAGCACCTCTATCCCTGACACTGTCGAGAAATAGCCGTTGACCCTCTCAAAACCCACGATGTGGAAACAAGCCCAATGTCTTTTAGGCCTTTTTGGGTTTTGGAGGCAACATATTCTTCGTTTATCAGTCTTACTTAAGGCCATTCATAGTGTTACTTGCAAATCAGCCCACCTTGAATGAGGCCCCTTCCAATGAGGGCTCTAGAATCCGTCAAAGTTGGAATCCGTTAAGTGCTCCTATTAGTGCCCCAGGAACACCTCCGTGGGGCTTCAGCAACTTCCTTGTGCTTCCTGGAGACTCTGGACCACTGTGACCTCCACAGGTTCCCCTGCACTCTTGTTACAACACCCTGCCCTGCTTAGATGTGTGCCATTGCCACACTCATGACTATTGACAGTTACTGTTGTCTATTGAGAAGAGCAAAATCAAATTGGTTTAGGTCCTTTTATAACAGACACGATAGATAATAAATTTGTGTAAATAATGTATATGTGCAGTTTAAAGGAAAAATACCATACTCAAGTGTCTACCATTCAACTTAAGAAATATACCTGTGGCTTCAAGTCCTTCCGTACCCCTCCTCAATTTTATTCCATTTCCTCCCTGGAACCCAAACTAATCACTAGCCTGAATTTTGTGTTGCATCCCTTGTTTGCTTTTCTTTATGGTTGTCATATGTATCATTAATAAATTGTCTAGTTTTGCCTGATTTGGGGCTTCCTATAAATGGAAACATACAATAGATTTCCCTATGGCTTGCTATTTTCTCTAAACGTTACGTTGAGATTCTGATACATGTAACTTTGTCTATTTTTAAAATTGCTGCAGAGTATCTGTTATATGATCGTATCAGTTTGTCCATTCTATAGTTTCTACAGTTAATAAGAGGGCCCATATGACATTTTCTATTGCCAGAGAAAAACCTTTCTCTAATTGTCAACTTAATTAGCTACATTAAAAGAAAGAAATCACTGGTTTCCTATTGAAAGAACCATGGGGAGCAACTTACTAGTTTGAAAAAGGGTAAGCACTAATTGCTATGAAGAGAAACAAAGCAGGGATCTGTGACAGACAACACTGAGGAAGGGATAGCAACTTAAAGCAGCTGTGCAGATGTCAGATAGAAGAGTGTTCCAAGCAGAGGGAATGGCAGGTGCAAAGCCATAAGGAAGAATCACCCCTGGCCTATGGAAACAGCAAGTTGCTAACAGTGGTTGGAGCAGAGCAAATAACGAGTGATAGGAAACAAGAAAAGGAGTAGCAGGGGCCCAGACAGTGTAGCAGTGTCTGTGATATAACCGTAGGGGCCACTAAGTGCTTGGTGGATTTTGAGCACGCAAGTGGCACATTTGTTTTCAAAGGATCGCTTGGCTGCTGTGTTGCTGACAGACTATGGGGAGCAAGGATAGAACCAGGGAGACAAATTAGAATACTGGAGTAATAATCTAGTTTATGTATTCCTTGTACATTGTTTGCAAATGTTAGATATGGTCTAAACAAATACCCACCAGTGGGGAAATCACTAGGTAGCACTGACAGCATTAATTATTTTATGTGAAGAACAGGAGGTATCAAAGGTAACAGAAGTAACAACAGAAAAAAAAAAGTACAGAAACTAAGTGAGCAAATATGAGCAATAAAATGAAGGGTAAAACCAATCATAAAATACGTCAAGAATCAACGTTGTACTGGAGGTCCCAGCCAGTGTGATCAGGCAAGAAAAAGTACCTAGATTGTTAAGAGAATTTAAAATGTATTTGCTGATGACATAACTCTGCATAAAACCCAATGGATCTACTTAGGGAAAACCTTACAAAAGACATTAAGGGCATGTACAATGAAAAGCTACAAAATACTGCAGAGAGAAGTTAAAAGATCCAAATAAGTCAGTTCACGGGTTAGAAGCCTTGATATCAAGATGTCAGTCCTCCCCAAATTGGTCTAAAAACTCAACACAATCTCATCAAAAACTTAAAAGTCTTTTTTGATGATACAAGTTCTTCTGAATTTAACCTATCTGTGATCTACTGAAAACTGTGGTTCCCTGAGGAGAGTTAGCCTGAGGAGGAAAACACAGAAATCAACAGGGATTCTGGGAAAAAGGTCAATTCCCCAAAAGGGTCAAGGATGGCAGCTAAATGGAGCTAAGGACATGTAGTCCAAACGGGAAAAAAGCGAAGATTATCTTCTGATTGCGTGCATATATTTAAGTATATGATGCATGTACATAGTGGGGGCACCACCCCATCTTCAGTAGTACTAAGTGAAGATTGAGAAAGACAGACACAGAATTAGAAGGAAACATGTTACTGAGAAATACTGAGGTAAAGAGATGAAAGTTGAATGTGGCTACCTTCACACAGCAGTTGGTCCTGTATGACTTTAAAAGAGGCTTATTTATTTTTTAAGGAAAAAAAAAGTAGGCAATTAATACAGAAAAAAATTACTGGACTTTTATTGACAATTAGTGAACTTCTAAAGTAATGTATTTCATAAGTATTTCATCTTAGATTTCTAAAGCACTTTCCAATTGGATCCCTTAATTTATCTGTAAGGTAGGCATTATAACCACACTCTTCAGAAGTTTCTAAAACTGAGAAAAACTGTTCTAGTTGTTTACAGGAAAAACTAAAATTAAATAAAGAATTGCTGAGACTAGGTTCACTAGCTTAGTTTTGCCCAGTCACTGACAAAAAACAAACCATTTAAGAGTCTTACAGTAGTCCATCATTCAGAATCTGCTACTGTACAGATTTTAAGAGGTTTAGAGTCAGTTCCAGTATAGAAATAAGGCCAAAGTGCTTCTGTAAAACAATCATTAAAAATATAGAGAAGAGCTCTATCACTCAAATTGTAAAAGGAAACCTCACCCAAATCGTAGTCCAAAAACACGCCAATCTTACTGGGTGTTACTCTTGGCAGAAGATTAATTTTTTTAGGGCCCAGTGCAACATAATTACTCTGGCTGCATCGTCCAATACCCCATAATCCATCCTGTACTAAAATCCACTGATTCTGACTCTTTCTCCTTCTGGGAAGCGAGTCTTCACAGACACCCACGATCCATTCAGGCTTGTCTTTCACTTCTACCTCCCAATAATGCCTGCCAGCACTATAGCCCTGAGAACCCAGAACAGCTGGGCAGAGATAAAATTTCCTCGGGTTACGAGATAAGCTTTTCATTTTACATCCATAATGCACAGTTTTTCTATCTTCTGAGACAATAAGTTTACGATGTGCTGTTTCAGGATCTAGAACTACATCTACTTGAAACTGCTTGATAATTTTGTTTAGGCCAGAATACTGTGGAGGAAGACTGTAACCATATTCTTTCAACTGGAATGAAAAAGGTTCAGGAGACTCTATGGTTCTATACCTATGGTAGATATTTTTAACATCTGCCAGTAATTCCAGTTCTGACTTCACATATTTGCTCTCTATCTCCTTTAACAGATATTTTAATATGGAAACATGATCTGAAAATTTTGTTAGATTTTCATTTAGTTTTGTTAAAATATCCATTTCTTCATCTTGTAATTGCCGAAGAACAGTCTTCTGCTCGTTTTGGAGAAACAACACAAGTTGCTCAAATTCAGCCTTTATTTCTTCTCTCCTATATTCCACTTTCTTCTTCAGTTCCAATGATTTTCTGGTTTGCATAGTTATTACTTTTTCAGCTTGCTCCACTCTCTCCTTCCAAAGCTCAGTGCAACGCTCCAATCTTTTCCTGTGATAGGGGGCAGCTTTTTCTATGGGCCAAATGTAGTGATTCCGGTGATCAGTGGAGAAACTGCACTGTGGACATAAAACCTCTCGGTCCTTCTGACAGAAAAAAATCAAAACCTGATTGTGCTTTTCACACATAAGCTTCTCTTCTTGCCTCTTCCTCTTGCTTTTTCTCATCTGGAGCAGCTTAGCAATTTCAGTCAAATTGCCCAGCTGGAGATTGCGCATCAATTTCCTTTCTGAACAGCAAAATCTGCAAAAAGGGCAGGGGAAAGTATCATTTAGATCCTTCCAGGACATATCAATACAGGACCGACAGAAGTTATGCCCACAGATGATAGTCACTGGGTCTTTCAAGTAGTCCAGACAGATGGGGCAGCTCGCCCCTGCTTGGAGGTCTGCCAGGGCTGTCACAAACTCCATGGAACCACGTGAACAGAAGTGGTCAGGTAATGAGCCCTTTAGGAAGACTGGGTCTCTGGTGCTCAAGACCCAGTGAGCAGTGGATGTCTTCCCCCAGACCTCACACACGGACCAGCTTTCAGCTTTAATGGCTTGGTATGTTGATGGCAGCCTCTATAGACTACTCCTCTCTCCCTTAGCTCCAGGGAGGAGCTGTTGCTGTTGCCAAGAAGACTCCAACTCCACAGGCTGCAGTCTACTGCACACTAGAACACAGTAGCTGGGCCGCTGCTCTTCCCACTCATGTGAAGTGAAGTTCAATGGCTTTCTAGTGTAAGAAAGTAGTCTTAGGTCCAAGGCAAGGAATCCTTCCTATGGGTGAGAAAAGACATTAAGTTAAAAATATGGTCCCACGACCACCAATGTATTAAAACATTAGCACAAGAATCATCAATGAATGCTAAACTCATTAGATGGAGGTACATGGAAAAAATGGGAATTTACAGTTGTAGACATTCAGCTCACATTCCTTATTAATCAAAAAAACAACAAAATATGGCACAAATTGACTCTATGTGCTTCCTGATATGATGCAATGGGAAGCACACAAAACTGCCTATAAAATATTCTATCTCAATCTAATCACGAGAAAACAGTAAGTCTAATTTAGATTGTGGGGCATTTACAAAAAAATTGGTATGCGTTCCTCAAAAATGTCAATGTCGTGAAAAGGCACAAAAAAAAAGATTCTAGATTTAAGACTAAAGAAATATGACAATAAAATACGATGCACAATCTGATGAATCTGGGATATAAAATAAAAAAATTAGACTAAACT